TTTTTTTGCCATATTGAGTGTTAGGGGGTCGCTATGAGTCAGGGCTGACTCGACGGCACATAACAACAACAACAACAAGGGTATCAACTGACAGATGTGCAGCAGGAAATCACAAGTAGAGTTCAGAGCTGAATTTGAGTTGTATATGTTAGTCTTCCTGGCTAGATCAAGGACAAAGACCTTGTGTTCATAAAACTGTAGAGTTGAAAGTATCTGAACATCTGTCAGCTGATGAATGGGTTAACAAAATATGGTGTATCTATACAAAGGAATATTGCTGTTGTTAGGTGCTGTCGAGTTGGCTCTGACTCATAGTGACCCTGGGTACAACAGAACAAAACACTGTCCAGTCCTGTGCCAGCCTCACAGTCCTTGCTATACCTGAACCCATCTGTGCAGCCTCTGTGTCAATCCATCTTGTTGAGGGCCTTCCCCTTTTTTGCTGACCCTCCACTTTACTAAGCATGATATTATTCTCCAGGGAATGGTCCCTTCTGACAACAAGACCAAAGTTGGTGAGATGAAACCTGGCCATTCTCGCTTCCAAGGAGCATTCCAGCTGCATTTCTTCCAGGACAGATTTGTTAGTTCTTCTGGCAATCCATGGTGCTTTCAGCATTCTTTGTGGACACTACAACTCAAAAGCATCACCTCTTCTTTGGTCTTCCTTATTCGTTGTCCAGCTTTCACATGCATATGAAGCTATTGAAAATACCATGGTTTGGGTTAGGTGCACCTTAGTCTTCAAAGAGACATCTTTCCTCTTCAGCACTTTATGCGGTCTTTTGCAGCAAATTTGTCCAGTGTGATACGATGTCTGATTTCTTGACTGCTGCTTCCATTGGTGTTGATTGTAGATCCACATAATACAAGATCTCTGACAACTTCAGTCTTTCCTCCATTTATCGTGATGCCGCTTATTGGTCCAGTTGTGAGGATTTTCGTTTTCTTTATGTTGAGGTTTAGTCCATACTGAAGGCTGTAGTCTTCAATCTACAAGTCATCTTCACTTTCAGCAAACAAGGTTATGTTATTATTTGGCCATAAGAAAGGAGTGAAGTACTGAAACATGCTGTGACATGGATGAACCTTGAAAACATTTTAAAGTGAAAGAAACCAGTCACAATAAAACCACATATCATGCAATTCATTTATATGGAATGCTTAGAGTAAGCAAATCCATAGAGACAGAAAGTAGTTTAGTGGCTGCCAGCCAGAAGGGAGAATTGGAAGTGGCTGCTGTTGGGTACAGGTTTTTGGGTGGTGGTTATCTGGAATTAGATGGTGATGGTTGCACAACCTTAAGAATATTACTGAAAATTACTGAGTTGTACACTTTAAAATGGTGAATTTTGGGGGTGTGAATTATACCTTTAAAAAGGTGGAAGGGAAAATAGGAAAGAGATTACCTTAGAAATAACTTACTCTGTCCCCATGCTGAGTGACTTGACTTTCATTCATCCTCTGTTCACACTGGCGATGCTTAAACATTTCCTGTCATAGGGAACTTACTCTCTGGTGACAGTAACCTACTTCCCCCCCCCCCCCAGACTTCTAATTGATGTTGTTGTAAGGTGCTGTCAACTGGGTTCCAACTCATAGTGACGCTCTGTACAACAGAATGAAACACTCCCCAGTTCTGCGCCATCCTCATAATCATTACTATGCTTGAGCCCATTGTTGCAGCCACTATGGCACTCCGTTTTGTTGAAAATCCTCCTCTTTTTTGCTGACTTTCTACTTTACCAAGCATGATGTCCTTCTCCAGGGACCTGTCCCTCCTGATAACATGTCCAAAGGACAGGAGAAGAAGTCTCACCATCCTCACTTCTAAGGACCATTCTGGTTGTACTTCCTTCAAGACAGATTTGTTCATTCTTTTGGCAGTCCATGGTATATTCAGTATTCTTAAACAATGACTTTCAAATGCATCAATTCTTCTTCAGGCTTTCCTATTCATTGTCCAGCTTTCACATGCGTATGAGATAATTGCAAATACCATGGCTTGGGTCAGACACACCTTAATCCTTAGGCATTTGTATTGAACTCAAGCTAAATGAAATCTTGCAACTTCTACAATTTCTCCCTTTTCGATGATGTTGCTTGTTAGTCCAGTTGTGAGGATTTTAGTTTTCCTTATGTTGAGGTGTAATCCATGCTAAAGGCTGTAATCTTTGATCTTCATCAGTAAGTGCTTCAAGTCCTCTTCATTCTTAATGAATCTTCCTTCAAACCTGTTGCCTCATTTTTCATATAGCCTGTCTTCTCAGATTACTTGCTCAGTATGCAGATTGAATAAGTATGGTGAAAGGATACAACCCTGACACACACCTTTTCTGATTTTAAAACCCTGTCAAGACTGAATTACTTTCTGTTATTTATTTATTTATTTATTGTTGAAACCATGTGTTTTCAGTTATGGAATACATTTTGAATGAAATGGAAAAAAAAAATTGAGGTGATACAAATTTTGATAGTTAGTGGTACACATACCTTCCAAAGAGTCTCTGGTGCTGGGATTAGTGAGATAAGGTTCATTTCTTCAAATTCATGCATTTACACAGGACCCCACCATATGGCAGAATGCACTAAGAGTGGGATAACAGCTTACCACTAAACTCCACAGACAGAAAATGTAGGTGGTCACTCTACATACCACACGTCACAAAAAGGTTAGACCATGCAGTGTCTTCTTGTTCTATTTGAGCAACTGCCTCTCAGTCTATAGTCTATGTACAGGTCCTGCATGGCACAATTCCCATTCTTTACAATATTATCTATACTTTGTTATGATCCACATAGTCGAATGCCTTTGTGTAGTCATTAAAACACAGGCAAACATCTTTTTGGTATTTTCTGCTTTCAGACAAGATCCGTCTGACATCAGCAATGATATCCCTTGTTCCACATCTTCTGAATCCAGCTTGAATTTCTGACAGTTCCCTGTTGATGTACTGCTGTAATCGTTTTTCAGT